TTTGAGGTCCCTTCCAATCCCTCACGGTCTGCGATTCTGTGATTCTGCAGAACCACAGCAGGGTCTGCCCACCCCACACCATCCACTTACGCCTGCAGGAAACGATGGCTTCAGTGGGGAGGCTGCAACAGGGATCTCCGTAAAGCAGCCTGGCATTGAATGGAAAGGTCTGGCTCTTCCTCGACACGTTGTAATTAAAGACCAGCAGGTTACACAGGGAGTTCCTCTGCAAGGTTCCTTCTATCTGGTCTGAAAAGTGCTCCTGGAGGGACAAAAACGTGACAGATAGGAAGGGAGTTCACCAGTGCAGGACTGGGAGCTCAGCCAGTGCAGTGCCCTGACCCTCTGTACCAGTCTGGTGTGCCTATAAGCTCTGGGCTGGCCGTACATTCAACGAGCCTTGTGTGGGAAAGGCTTAAATAAATAAATCCAGTGGCTTTTTACAAGATCACAGCTATTTCGGCTTCGAGACCTCTGGAGAGGAGGACAGCTTCGTGTTTGGCAGTAGATTTTAAATGAGCAAGACATCCAACAGAACGGGCAACTGAGTTTATAGTCACAAGATATTTGTGGAGTCCTGAGAACCAGAATTGAGTGCTCTGCATAAAGAAAACTGCCAAAATTTCCCCCCAGCACTTAAAGGACTCAGTGCTAGGTACATCAAAGGGAACAGGATGGCTACTGGTACCTGTAACTGGTCTGCCTGGTACCTCCTCCCAGCGTAAGCGTTGAGGTGGTCGGACAGGACGGACAGGAAGCGCCTGATGTCCGTCTGCAGGTACTTCTGGGCGATCTGCTCCAGGGGGATGAAGATAGGGACGGAGTGGCGGTAAATCCGCACCTCTGGCTTGGTGAGCAGGTCCAGGTGGTAGGAATCCAGGTAGGTGCTCTCGTAAGCGGTGCTGATGCAGAAGCAGACTCCCCGCTTGGTCAGCTTGCCACTGATCCCTTGGGTTCAGAGAAAGGGGTTTAACTCTTTTGCTCTAACCCAGCACCACGAGGCAGCTTCTGCTCCAGGAGCTTCCCTGGAGGATTAAAGGCTTGGAAGAGTTTAGGGACGTAAAGCAACTTTTTAATAAGGGACTTCTAATGAATTAATATTTAAAGGGTGAGTGTCACGAGGATGGAGCCAGGCTCTTCTCAGGGACAAACAATGATAGGACAAGGGGCAATGGACACAAACTGGAACACAGGAGGTTCCACTGAAATTGGAGAAGAAACTTCTTCTCAGTGAGGGTGCCAGAGCACTGGCCCAGGCTGCCCAGAGAGGTTGTGGAGTCTCCTTCTCTGCAGACATTCAAAACCCGCCTGGACGCCTTCCTGTGTAACCTCATCTGGGTGTTCCTGCTCCGGCAGGGGGATTGGACTGGATGAGCTTTTGAGGTCCCTTCCAATCCCTAACGGTCTGGGATTCTGTGATTCTGTGATTCAAGCAGCTTAAATTCCCAGTAACTGAGTTATGGTGCCGTTTCCAAACACAGCCCTGGCTCCTGGGTGGAGGAAGGCAACGTTTTCCTGTCCCAAGGAGGGGCTCAACCCACTTGCAGCAAGGCAAGGACTCACAAACCCACACTGGAACAGAAAGCAAAGGGGATTCTTGCTAGAAACCGTATTATTTTTTAAAAAAGCAATCAGAAGCAGATGAAAAGACGGAGCCGACCTTAAATTCTTGCTTAGAAGACCCAGACTCAGATATTTAACTGCCCAATTGCCAAAGATTTCATTAGGACTAAGGTAGTTACAGGTTTCCCACGATCTACACCTCAGTCCAAATGATACAGTTGAGTAAACAGCTCCCGCAACGTCCCAGAGGGCTCCTGTGGAAGGCAGGGAGCTACAAGGTTACTGCTCTCCCAGCGTTTTCAGGCTCTGAAGGTTCCAAGCCCAACAGCAGCGCTGTTAACAGGGGAGCTGCACTTCACAGCAGGCTTATTTCCAAAATTTGGCACCCCAGAAACGCAGCCATCGTCACAACGCACGCAAATCCCGAGACGTTACCTGTGAGGTAAAAGATTTGCAGCATGGCCTTAACGCTTCTAAGCTTCCACTCTAACATAGCCTGAGCGCTGGGCTGGGCTGAACCCGATGCGACTTCTTCTTTCCCAAGTTGCTACAAAAGCCAGAAGAGAAGAGAGGTCAGAAATCGTTGACGTGAACACGTCACCTGAAAGGGACATGGGCTACAGAGAATAACCTGGCTCTGAGAAAAGCGAGACGGTGTTTCAAGCAAAAGAGGGGAGAAACGAAGCAGAAAAGGGGGAAAAAAAACCCAAAAGAAGAGATCAGAAGTGGCCACACGACCTCTAAACAAGTAGAGCCAGCAGATCTGGGCCACGCAGTACTGAAAACAAAGGACGTTGGGACTGTACGTCACTTAAAAAGGGAAAAGAAATTCTAAATAACCTCAGGAAATCCACCCTCTGAAGCAGGAGCACATCTGCCAGCTCTCCCCACTGAGCCTTTTCTCACCCTCTTTTCCTGCAGGTCCACTTTAGCCCGCAGCTCGTCCCTCCGGAGTCTCAGCTCTTCCACTCTCGCCTTCAGGTTGACCAGTTTCTCTTCTTGCTGCTCCATTTCCTCTTCCTTCAGGGCTGCCTCGTGAGCCTGCGCCTCCAGCATTTCCAGGTGGGCAAACACCCCTGTGTGAGGGAAAGCACGGCACAGAAATCAAGCTCCAGCGTGGAGCCATAAAGCAAGCGCTTGCAGTAACTGTTCCAAGGGGCAAACATCTGGTGGAGAGGCTTTGAGGGATTTTAAAGTGAGGACGAGTGCCAGCAGACCCAAAATACTGGGGTGCCCCACATCAAATCATTGAGCTCCTGAAAAGCTGATTAAGGTGGCAGTTCTGACCCCAAGAGACCTCAAACTCCCAGTTTTACTTTGAACTCAGTACACAAAGCAACAAAGTGACTTCTCGGAAGCCCCCCATCCCCTAAAATTGGCCACAGATGACTCAAGGCACACCCTGGCAAGCCAGGGGGTGGTCACTTCTGGCCCTAAGCATTTTAGGGTTCACTCCTGCAGAAGGATACGCTTGGATGTCCCACCCCCTGCACCCCAGACAGCTCACCCTGTGGGGAACATGCTTTCCCTTCCACCATCTTCTCTCTCTGCTCTCCTGCAAACGGGAGGGCAGCCATCAGCCTGGCTCTGTCCCTTGGGATGTGGCGATGCAGGGTCAGCGAGAGCTTTTCCTCAGGGGGCCTTCCTCTTCCTCAGGGGTCTTTCCTCTTCCTCCTCCTGCTGCGACGAGGCTCTGAGAAGCACCGAGGGCAGCTCTAGCATCCGGGCCGGCTCCACGCAGCCACAATCCCCCTGGCCGACAGCTGAAATAACACAAATTAACGCACAGTTTTCTCTAAGCCACCGTTTCACAAGGAAACCCGTAGGTACGGACAGGATTCAGCGGCCTTTACCGCAGG